GACGCTCCCCCTGTGGCATAGAAAGCCTCACATAGGCCCAAGAAGGCTCTTGCAGAGAGTTGCTTCATGGTGGCTGGAAAACCACAGGCAAATGCTGCTCACTGTGCCCATGGACTTGAGAATAGAAGCTAATGCAACCCATCATATGAAGAATAAAACCCCATAGTTTTTACAAACCACAAGTGAAAAAATGACACGTGTCAAACACTTCTACAAAGTACTTTCTAAAATGAACATGCTGGTAGAACTTGAGTTTTCAAAACAGATTTTCAAGAGAAAACAAAGTACCCTTAATCTGGCACAATCAGTCTGTTCAGTTCTGTTGCTCAGCAAAAGTGAGTTGTTTTATTTTGCTTATAATGATACGTTTGGGGAAGCAGAGATTATATCTTATCTTTCCACATAAGACCATGGAAACTGGGCAAATCCTGAGTGACAACTATTTCACTGCCCTTTCCTGGGAAAGCAGCCAAGCTGGCAATGCAGCAAGTCTATTTTCAATACAACTGCATTTGTATATGCTTTTGAAATGCTGGAACAGGGCTTTTAATGGGGCTATTACTTAACTGAATCATATATTGATTTGTGTCACATTAACATTGCCACACGATGATGCAGAACATCCCAATGCCACCAGCTCCTGCGAGTTGTCTGCAACACAATGGCAACAAGCACTAGGAAACCTTAGCTCCTTCTGCCAGATGCAGTTGGAATGTAAATATTTTATCACCTTGAATACAGATACTCAGAAAACACCTTTGATGGCTAACATTGCCCTCAGCGGATTTTAGTTACTGTGGCACTGACTGTAAAAATGCCAGATGCATGCTCACGTGTGCCCGCTAGACTTCCCGCTAGAGAAGCTGGTGGCAGTTCCTGTGCCCATCTCTCGCTCTGCATTTACAAGCACTCCTAGCTGGATTGGAGCCTTGTGAGATACTGGTATACTGGTTATTGGTGAGGCACTAGCACAGGCTGCCCTAGGAATTGGTAGAGTCACTAACATCCCTAGAGGTGCTCAAGAAATGCGTGGAGGTGGGCTTCAGGGATGTGATTAGTGGGCACGGTGGGAACGGGCCAATGGTCTTCTCCAACACTAATGATTCTATGATTCCATGATCCTATGAGATAAGTGCACTCAGGGTGGAGCCTCCTAGCATGGGTTTTGCTCATCTGCCTCTTAATGGTTTTGTTGGTTGGTTTGGGAAGAACGGTTTTGTAAAGCAACAAATGCCATTTGTGCTGAAGCTACTGCAATGGGGAAAGGAACCACCCAAATTCATTTCTCCAGCCTCTTCTGCTTCCTCAGAGTGGACTAAAACAGAAGCATTTGGCCTGTTCAATAGTCATGGCTCTGCAGCCATGGAAGAATGGTGAGAGCATTGTGAATTGAAATGTGCAGAGAGAATGCCAGGTTTAAACCTGACTAGGCAAAATTAATATGCACAGTAACTTTAATTACCCGATGAAGTACAATTTTTCACAGAACACCCTGCCATTTTCCATGCAAGAGCTCTGTGGTGGTGTTCAGTGAGAAGGCAGCTGGTCTGGTTTCTCTTTGTAGCCTGTTTTATGGCCTGAATGACAGGCTATTAGAGAACAATTACTTACTGCTGGCTTTCATACAGCAGTCATCGTTAGCATATCTGAGTACTCTACATCATCACTGGGAGGTGAGAGGCCTTTCATATGTGTATATTTTATAGATGTGTAAATGCATATGAGTATATAAGTGCTAAATAATCTGCTACTATATATGTTAATGATGTATGGCTGTGTTTCCTATAGTTAGTTTTATGGGTTATTATAATACCATGCATAATTAATATCATTACACAGGCAGGGAATTAAGTTGTTCACTGATTTGGGGCATTCAGTTTGCCATGCTCAGGATGTCCTTATTCAGAACATGGAGCATTATAAAGCATGGCTTCATCTAAATATTGATTTAATGATCAATTAAAATGAACCTTTATCTTTTTTTCTTCCCCAAATCAAGTCTTCTTCAATTCTTTGTCCAAAGCCACCGATGAATAAAAAGCCTCAAAAGAGCCTCTGGGATTACTGCAGCAATGGATTTGTCCATTCAGTAAATCCTTTTCTTCGTGCTACTTGCAATCTATTTATTTTCTTATCCGCACATGGTGCTACGCAGGACATACACTGCTGTTGCATCACATCAGAGCCTCTGATAACAGCAAAGAGAGGCACTGAGGTCTCGGTCATTTTGTGGGTAAAACACCAAGTTTTACCCCCTAATGACTGTGATATTTCACAGTAAAACATTCTAGTATCTATACCAACACCTCTAAGAAAGTAAGTAGATATGTTTGTGTGTGACGTACAGACTAATTACCTGGTGCTCAGAAAAGTGCTGAAAACAGTGACTGAATGACCAGGAAAGCCACTTCTGAGAAACTGAGAAGGCCCTGAAGAGGCTCACACCAAATCAATTTCTTTTTAACTAATATACTCCTTGGCGGACCAGAGAAAGCCTTTGTGGCTGCTTCTAAGTCTTATCTACACAAGTCAGAAGTTGGGTCAAAAGCCAATCTTGTTTTACATCAGAGTCACAATGTGAACATCAACATGTTTTCTTCCCCCCATTGCCTCCGTTAGCCCAATTCACATTTCTCACTGCTCAGAGACGATCTCCGCTCATCATTATCTCTAATAACATCAGCTTAGCACATTTCATTAGTGGCTGGGAATTCAGAGGTTTAATTGAATGATTTACTGTACTGAGAGGCAGTGCAGAACTGTCAATCCAGTCCTGCTTGACTCAAGAAGACCGCTGGCTGCTCATCAGCCATATCTCTGCTGAATATGCTCTCTCGGTGAGCAATTAATTAAGTAATGAAGAACCTCTTTAAATGACCCAAACGGCTGCGTTGGTTTGAAATTATGCAAGTGATGATTTTAAAGGAAGAAAAATGTAAGGGTAATCCCCATTTCTCACAAATCAGTTTGCCCTGCTGGCCTTCCCTAGCAGTTCTGCAGCTGCTGGCGCTTGTTGGGCCCACAACAGCGATCTGGGACACGGACTGGGGAGATGGGCCTTGAACCCTCACCATCCAACAGACGGCCCACGCTTCTCTCTGTGGGCTCTGAAGGGACACAGACACCTGTCAGATGGCATCACCTCTGGGTTTCACCCAGCAGAACACCACCTGGAGCTGCCTAGCCTGTGCCAGGGCCTCCTCCTCTTCCACCACCTGGCAGCAGAGCTCCTTCCCCTCCCTGCTCCCCTTCACTGTGAAGCGCAGCACCCCAAGTTCTATCTGAGGAATAAAGTCACCAATAAGTTCCTGAGCTTGCGCTTCTTTTAACGGAAACATCACACACATCTGTACAATGAAGTACAAAGGGTTAGAAAGGGCTTCAGCCCCTGTCGCTAACACAATGCACCTTCATCCCTGAGAGCACCTGGCAGCTGTGTGCCTCCTGCAAGTGCTACTGAGTGCACTTTCACCTGCAGCACAGGTTGCTTTTCCATGCTCAATCCAAATGCTAAATCTCCAGTACACTCGGCTGGCAGTAAGCAGAATTAACAGTAAAGCCATTCAATATAGTGATAGAGAAATATCCAAATCTATCCTGCCATTTTCGTCACAGATGACTAAAAGGGGGTTTTCCCACTCTCTGGAGAAACAAGATCAGCCTTACATTCTGGTCACGGCAAACCCGTTAAAAAAGCAGTGCCTATGAATTGCACAGGACAAATGCATTGTGCAGACCAAAACCATCTTTACATTCATAGGGGTGGGGAGGTTTATCAGCAGGGTGCTTATTGCATCACGTCAGTACAAGGCAGATAATCTGACATTGCAATCCAGCCAGCACAGCTCTTCCAGCAAGACGTACAAACACTGGGCTCTGCCTAACATCCTTGTTGCACCAGTCAGCTGCAACTTGTGGAGACCTGACCCCAAACCTACTGACTAACAGTACCGACCTGAACACGAGTTTATAGCCAACTGAATTTACTTTTTCCATGATGTGTACAGTTTCATTACAAATTCAGTGAGTTTCTGGTCAGCCTCTGAGATGTTTTGGCTTCCACTCTCTGAACGTGCTCCTTTTTTTAGCAAGCAGCAAGAACAGAGCCCTTCCTTATCAGAACTCTCCAGGGTCTGGCATCATTCAGACTGCTGGTAAAAGTACATACAGCCTTAATCAGGACCATGAAAATCAGCACCAACCTATGGAAAAAAGCACTTACAGAAGCACTCATGTGTACCAAAGGATGGGGCATTTCTGTAAGCACAATGTGTTTCTCTGGCCAACAAAACAATTTAGATCTAATTTTGGGATAGAAGAATGGCTCTGAAAGTCTTCCTATAGTGAGGATAGTATGGTCCCCATATATCCAGGGGTTTTAGGCTCAGAGATTGGACATCTGATGTTTCAGTCTTCAACTGTGGGACAGCATGGCTCATCCCTGCTTTAACTTCAGTACTAAGGAATGTTTTCTTCTGCTTTTGAGACGGAGTGAAGCCCTATACTCTTCAGGTACCCAGAAGCATGATATCAAACCTCACAACGAATCCAACCACAGTTTCCAAGCATCAGTGGCTGATACTGCATCTCCAACCAGATTTTCATAGTTTGTGGCTGGATTTGACACCTGGGAAAATTGCTTCTGTTTCTGTAATGTGCATGTACAATTAACAAATGTGCAGACAGAAGAGTGGCATGGTTAGGATTGTATTTTACAGGTTTATAGTTAGAAAGAATATCATGGTGACAAACAAAAATGAAATGCTCACCTGTATCCTAAGCAAAACTCTAAAAGGAGACATCTACAGAAAGAGATCCTTCCTCAGTGGCAGCCAGCCCTTAAATGGTGTCTAGGAGAGATGCAGCCAGGCTCCACGCCTTCCAGTCAAACAGCTGAATTGCCTTCACCTGTGCTCCCATGGCTGGCTCAGTCCTTGCCTCAGGTGATCAATCAGTGATTCAACAATTCCCATACAGTGCATAATTAATGTATCTTGGTGATAACCTGGAAAAGTTGTGGAGCAGACACTGATAATAAACTGGTGGTTATTTATTTATTTATTAGCAGGAATTTAAATATCAAGGGAAAAAGACAAATCTAAACCCACCTGAGATTCACCATCTCCATTATTTCACAGTTAAATTCCAAGACAAAAAAAATCCCTGAGACTAAAGAGGAGACAACAGATAGAGAATACAGGGAAACATAATGGGGGAGGCAAATGTTAGAGGTGACTGTGTCATACAAAAATTAGTTCAACTTCTCTGTTGCTCTAAAGAAACCAGTCATTATCCCTGATTTATATCTGTAGATGATGTGAGTACCTCAGCTACAGAAATATTTCATATGCAGCCCTCTTTATATTCAACACAGAACAAAAACATTAAGGAATGTATCCACACAGACCATATAGAGCTGTACAGTTCAATATCTACCTTGCACTAATCTTTGATTATTAGAATTAATACGCCATAAAGTGCTTCATACATTAAAAAAAAAAAAAGAGTAGACTTAGATTTTCACTGCCCATTGAGGCTGTGATGTATTTTACACTTTTCATTATTTCTATAAAACCTTGTACTATGCCTACCTACGCAAGAAGAGGAAATAATATCTAGTGTCAAAAATACAACTCCTTAATCGTGCCCATTACAAAATGAACAAACGCAAAATATGATCCTTTCACACACATTGTTTTTCAAGGAGTTGTGCAGTCATTCACCTGGAACTGGAAATAAGAAAAAAAACAACACTTGAACTTCGTATCAACGGCATACAGGTAAACTTTTTTTTTATCTTCCACCCAAAAATAACTTCACCTTCCATAATCAGACACACTGTGCTATAGCCCTTGCCATGTTTCTGCACCACAAAGGCTGCTGTACAGTATTCCAGCTCCATCAACAGCAGGCATGCATGACAGCACGCAGTCTGTTATCTTGCTCAGATAACAAGACTAATGGCTCTAAAACCTTCCAAGTAACTGCCAGTAAGTCAGGTTCTGCTTCTGGCAGGAGACACCTGCCTCTGTCTTTGAGCCTCTGCTGCTCTTTTCTTCTCCTGTTCCTCTGCCTTCTTCCGCTCCTCTTTTAACTCCTTGTATCTCCACTTCGGAATCTGCAAGTAGGGGTCATCTTTAGCGCTGCTCCTCCTCCTTGCCTTTTCCGGTTGAAAGGTGGGAGGAGGAGCTTTGCTGACACGGACTTTGGGGATGACAAATCCTGGCCTCACGCTGCTTCTTCTGAGCAGGTGGAGTGGCAAGAGGCTTGTTTTCCTGGTGGCTATGGTGCTCACTTGAGACACTGCAAGGCTGACGGGCTGCAGACTTGCTCGACGGTCCTTCTTTTTGGGGATTACTGTGACTTTGGAGTTCTGAAATAATTTCTCATAGCTGCTAACGTGGTCTTTGTCCTGAGATCGGATCTCCTCGGCTCTCTGCTTCCTAAGGATTTCTTGCACAGCCAGTCTGCGTTTTCCCACAGAAGGTGGGCTTCCTGGACACACAGTCCTACATGATAGAGCAATGAAAGGACTGCCTAAGCTTGTTGTCACCTTCACCATGTGATCAAGGACCCCATCCTCTTCTGGGCCATGGAAAGCCCGGAACGAGACAACTGACCTCACACACTCAGAAATCCTCTGCAAACAGGTTTTTGGTTCTGCAGCCTTGGCAAGGAGTTCCTTCATCTTTGGCCATTCTGGTTTATATTGATCACAAAACTGTTCAGGGCATGGTTTATCCATCAGCCTTTGCATGATGAAAGCAGATTCTGACCTTCCTGTATAACAAGCCCATTCCCATGAAGTCAGTCCACGGCTTGGGTCTGTTGTGTGAACATTTGCCCCTTAAAGAAAAGAAAAACAGTGTTAGTGAAACTGTAACTGTCCACATTTCTGAGCACTTTAATATTCACTTTTGATGCACATGTATCACTGCTCCTGTAGATAATTTCTTAGCTCCTTGAAAAAGTTTTAAGCTGAAATGTGAACAGGCTACAACTTCTGATTTCTTGACGAGCTTCTCTATCAGATAAAGTTCCACTTTCAAACAGCCAACACATTACCGACCTACAGATATCTTGTCAAAAAAGAAAAGGCGTTCTGTCACACTGCTTTGGAAGATGAACATGCACAGAGACTGAGACCTGGGGAAAAGGCCAGAGAAGAATCACGATTAATTATTTTTTCCCAGTTGGATTTATCTCAGTGACAGCATTTCAAACCAGTGAGAGAGGAACTAGATATCAGGAAAGGCAACCAGAAACTGGTTTCTAATGGCTCCAGATTAATCTTCCACTCAATGGGGTGTTCAACTGTTACAGAAAACAGGAAAAGAGAGCACAGGGAAAGTGATTGGAAGTTCAGTTTTTAACCCTACTAAGTATCATTTGACTCCAAATTCCCTGAGAAAACCTCTAAGACAAAGTTGGAGACAGAGAAAAAACAGTGAATGTGAATGGAAGGAGAAAACCAAAGCAAAGAAGTTGATCTCAATTTAAGAGGAGTTTAAGTGAAGTTTGCAGAATCATCCAGAGAGAAAGCACAGAAACGCTTGAAAGAGTGAAGCATGGAGCCCAAACGTGGAGGAAGCAAAGAAGAGGAAGATTTGATCAAAACAAAGAGTTCATTAGATGTCGGCTGAAGAAAGGCTCGTGAGAGCTCAAAGGCAAAGAGTTTGAAGCTGTTCATGACAACAGAAGCTACAGATAGACCAGGGAGAGGAGGCTGGAAGAAAGGCACAAAAAGACATTTCCTCCTGCTACACTAGCCTGTTTCCGAAATCCTCCTGCCCGGACTCCTACCCCTGACTCTCTTGTTCTAGACTGTTGTCTGGTCCCCTTCTGAATACTCGCCTGTGTCTGTACTCCTTCCAATTAAACCTGACTGGAAACATGGCGAACTATATGGAAGTTGTTTGTTTGCTTTTCACATAACAGGCAAAGATTTACTAAGGGAAAAGTAGAAGCTAAGGGAATTGTGTCTAAATTTACCTTTGCTTGGAGGCTGCATTCAAGCTCAGACACTCAAGCTCCAGTCATTGCCTGAGCTGTGCTGCAGCTGTGCCTGGCCATGCGCCTTGCTGACCCTGCCCTGCACTCACTAGTTTCACCTCAGACCTCCCCTGTCCCTGTGGTCTTGCCTCATCACCATGGACTTAGCTGACTGTGGTTACTGTCACCCAACCTGCTCCATTCCTTCAAGAAGTACCCTTATTGATGAGGCCAGTGCCTCTGTGCCTTGCTGCAGCCCCTGGATCACTCATCTCTGAGGTTAAACCATCCCTCACTGCTCCTGACAGATGTGTACCCAGGTATTTGGGAAACTTTATCTCAGGAAAGAATACTACATGGTATAGAAATCCTGATCTTTCAGAGGAAATCGATGTTGACTTTGTAACTTGTTACACAAGATCTCTTGTAAGGCATGATTTGCTATCATGGTATTGATTTTCTGTACAAATCCAGAGGCATTTTTAAAAAAAACTGTCACTTAACAAAATGTCATACCTGCATGAGACATGAATAGTCATGTCCTCTTAAAAATATTAACTAGACACAGAATTAATGAATCACAAAATCCCAAGGGTTGGAAGGGACCTCAAGAGATCAAGTCCAACCGCCCTGCTAAAGCAGGTGACACAGGTCCAGATGAGTCTTGAATATCTCCACAGGAGGACTCCACAAGCTCTCTGGGCAATCTGTTCCAGTGCTCTGTCACTTTAAACAAGTTCTTTCACAGATTTATATGGAACTTCCTATGTTCAAGTTTTAGGCCATTACTCCTTGTCCTATCACACCACACCAGAAGAGCCTCATCCATTTGCCTCCCACCTCCCTTTACATATTTATAGACATTTATCAGATCTCCTCTCAGTCTTCTTTTCCCTAGACTGAACAAACCCAGGTCATTCAGCCTTTTCTTGTATGCGAGATGCTCCAGGTCCTTAATGATCTTTCTGGCCTTGCGCTGGACTCCTTCTAGAAGATCTGTCTTTGAACATGGGAGCCCAGTACTGGACACAACAGTCTGAATGTGGCCTCACCAGGCCAGAATAGAGGGGAAGGATCACCTCTCTCAACCTGCTGGCCATGCTCTTCATCTCTGAGGTGAAACCTCAGACTGTCCATCAAATCCTAGAGGGTTTCCTGACAGGCAACAATGCCCCTTTTGCTTGACCTTGCCTTGCTGAAGGGCCTTGAGAGAGAAATTCACAAAGTTCAGCTCTGTGATTCCCTTCAGACAATGCTCTGAATGAGTTTGAGTCCATCTGACAGGCAGAGAATGGGGCATGTCCTTGTCAGCACAGAACCATGGAGGCTCACACACGTTACTGCAGAAGATCCACAAGAGGCAGGACTTTGGGTCTGGGAGCTCTTAGCTCAGAAATATTGCTCAGACCCATAAACTTCCAGCACAAGAATTAGTTTAGGAATAAGCATCAGACCAAAAAGAAGAAAGCAAAATCACAGGAGAGATTTCCCAGGAGGGAGCTGAAGGTGGCTGAGGGCAACAGAGGGAGCAGGTGAGAGCAGCACGTGCATGGCCAACACATTGGCACTGTACTCTGTGTACTCTGTGTTTAACAGGAGAGCACAGAGAGGCAGGCATCTATTAAGCAGCTGTTTCACACACTGTATTTAAAGCCCAGTCTCTATGACCACTTCCACACCAGTGGCTTTACTGAAGCAGCACTGAGTTTGCACTGGAGATTTCAGCAGGGCTTGAGTGGTAAGCAATGATGCATTCCTGTGTTCCTGCCCAGGTTCACTGGCTGCTGGCACCATTCGGTCCTCGCTGTGCAACTACCCATGACAAACAGCCCATGAGAGGCTCAGCTCCTCTCTTTTTAACTTTGCATTCCCAAATCACAAATCCCTACCTTCCAAAGAATCACTTTGAAAGAGGAAACATTACAGCCAAGTGTCTCAGAGCACCTTCATCTTACCGTGATTGACCTTGGCCACTCTCCAGGAACTCAAGTTTTAGGAAGAACATCCACTTAAAAAAATCCAGCTCCAACCATCTATCACACTCCGCTGATGTCCCTTTCCCATCCAAATCATCCAAAGCAGCCAAATTCTACTCAGGCAGCTAGAAAAGTGAGCTTCCCTTTATTTCCCTCCTGCATTGCCATAAGAAATTGCCAGAAAACAGAGATCTCACCCAAGTCACTAAGCAGATACTGGATTTAACTCTTTTAGCAGCACACATGCCTGTTTTGTTGCTGTAACAACAGTCAGAGGTTATGCAGAGACTCATGGCTGATTACAGGTTCCTCCCCCCCCGTATTTCCATGTGTTCTTACTGTTTAACATAGAATTTAGCTGGAACCTAAGGAACTGTTTTATTTATGAAACTGATTTTTTCCCCAGATCATTCAACAACAATGTATTATGCACTCTTCAGCAAAGCAGTACTTCATAGTCAGCAGCCACTCAGTATCCCTTCACCCCCAAACTATTTCCAAATCCATTCTGAACAAGCTGCTCCGTCTTTCCATTTCACCAGGCTGTGCAGTGCTATACAATAACTGGATATTGAAATGGCCCCTGTTTTTCAGCTGAAAGTGTGCAGACCTGCAAAGTGATCACTAAAACATGTAAATAAACTGCAGTTTAAAAACGTGTGATATATTTTAACTCAATGATTCTTATGGAAACCTTCCAACTCGGGATATTCTGTGATTAATCCTACAAGCCTTTAGCCAACAGATGTTCTCTGCTACCCTCACTATCTCTAATGCACAACTAGCCCAACGTAACTTCCTGTAGGAAAACATGACAGGAGACTAACAAGGTCATTTTCTGTTTGGTGAAATGTTTGTTCTTCACACTGATCTGTCTGCTTACAGAACAGGAAGAAAAGCAGGTGACTGTTCAGATGCCAGAGGCAGCAACCATATGTTAAATTTGATGTCTATACTGAGTTACCTGCAATGATGGAAAGTTGTGAAACAGCTTGTCATGACTAAAACAGGCAGAACGAGTTTCCATCAGATCCCAAGTGATAATAATAGAAAGCCATGACACTGTCAGGTCAATCTGACAAGTTTTAAGGTATGGGGTTGAAGTTTCATTTTAATTGATAATTTATAACAGCCACTGGAAAATTCTGTACTGGCATCTGCTTGAAATAGACATTAGTTCAGAAAGTGCACCTGTGTCTAGCAATATACCAGCTCTAACCACTGTTTCATAACTTTGTTTCATAAAAATTTAACGCCAAAATGAATGATCTGACTCCACAAAACCTTGATTCCAGTGTAACAGGCTGGAGAACCTTGCAGAAAATACTGCCAGTTGCCATATCATTCAAGCATTTCTGTGTCACATCAACATCAAGAAACTGGATATTATAAAAATGGATGAAAGTAATGTCACTATGTTTGATAAATGCCTTCTACTTAAAACAGTCAAATTTAAGTTCTGCTTAGTATGAGAGTGGTGAGGTGCTGGAACAGGCTGCCCAGAGAGGTTGTGGATGCCTCGTCCCTGGAGGTGCTCAAGGCCAGGTTGGATGGGGCCCTGGGCAGCCTGCTCTAGTATTACATGTGGAGGTTGGTAGCCCTGCATGTGGCAGGGCCTTGGAGATTCATGATCCTTGAGGTCCCTTCCAACCCAGGCCATTCTAAGATTCTACAATTCTATGAAATTATGAAGGATTAAACTTCTGTGGCAGCAAAACAGCAGACATGAACTACCTATTCAACATCTCAGCCTACAGCTAAATGGACTTGTGGGATTTGGGGTCTAAACAACGATATTCACATGCTATCTATTATCATTTCCATAAAAACTTGTGTTCAACATTTGCAACTGTAAAAAAATAAAGTACATTAACATACATATGTACTAATTCTTTAATTGTTAACTAATAATTTATGTATCAATTACTCAACACACTAAAGCACACAACACTATGGCTAAAAGGTGTCGTATGGCCCTGCCAAGACTCAGCCTTGCTCCTCTACTAGAGGATGCTGCCCCAATGTTCTCACCATCCCTTGCTGATGTTTATGTGTGATGGACTAGTATTTGCAGTTAGATGATGAAGAAGAAACAGCAAAGCACTTTGCATACCTGCCATCATCAAAGCTTTCACGCATTCCGTTCGTCCCTGCATCGCAGATTTCATCAGTGCTGTAAATCCAAACACATTCCTCTTCTCAATGTCAAGCCCAGGGAAATAGTTCAACAAATAGTTTGTAATGGTTATGTGCCCTTAAAAAGAAGAAGAAGAAGAAGCAGAGAAAATCCATCACAGAATTAACAGCCAGCCTCAAGGTCAAACCAAAAATTGCTCCTGCAGGTTTGATTATTGCAAAAATACGGACGATGAATGGGATCTGTTCTCAAGTAATTTTTCTGCTCATTGCAGTCATTGGCTTCAGCATTAGGTGGCACTGTCCTGTGGCAGAACGCGGGATAGTCCTGGAAAGCTGGACTCCCACCGGCCCTCGGGTTGCCTTCAGTGAGGTTTTTTTCCACTCTGAAAATGAATCTAAGGTATAGGAATAATTAAAGATCAGAGGTGGTCACTCTGGGGTTGAAGGGGCCTCAGTTTCTTGTGCAGGAGGTCCTACTGACTGTCCCCTAAAGGAACTCCTAGCAAAGATTCAGCTTTTTCACCCCTCTGATAAATTTGAGCCTTACAGTCACAGTGCTCCATTAAGTAGTAATTACATGTGGTAGTTGCAGCCAATACTACGAGCAAACCATGCTAGCCATGGTACTAGGCAAATAAATATTTTGCACTGGCTCCCACATTTTTACTTTACCATCTGACCATGCAAAGCCACTTGTGTCAGCAGGGGTGTGCTTAGTAGCTGAAGCTATCTCTGGCTAGCTGGTGGGAAGACTAATTAAAACATCAAGCCTTTATAATTGGACCTTCAGAACAAGGCAGATATCCAGTGCCATTATGACTCATTCAAAAAACTTTACCCTTTTTTTGCCATTCATTTTATGATGCTTTGATGCTCTATGAAATATTGCAGTCTGCCAGGCAGCTGCGACAATCACAGTTTAATTACGAGGCACTGTAAAAATATTCTCATTTCTCTCTGCAGTCCAGCTGAATATTCTGTGATGCATATCACTCAAATTCATCTAGAAATGTTACTGAAGCAGATTATAATTCATATAGGACACTTTTTAAAGCTTATGCTGTCGCATCTGGTGCAGATTTCATCAGATGTGGCTTTGCACCAATGCAGTCCTGGACTCACTTTGGAAAGCAAGTTAAGAAAAGCTTTAGCACTGAACTTAAGATGTTTTCCAGCTGCTACTCCTTGCACCCTAGAATCTGGGAGCAGGGCTCTGCTACCTTGCCACATAACTGGATACCCTGCTGAAACCTGAACAAGTGGGGAGAGAGCACAGATCAGCTCAATAATGCCAGAGACAGGGAAAACCAGGGAAGATGCTCACAGTACCTTGGATGGGCTGATGGAAATGAAACGTAAAGATACAGCAAACTGCAGTAAGCTGAACAGCAAAAGTGAACCATGTTCAAGACAGGATAGAGTGACCCAATCCTGCTTACTCAGCACAGAGGCTTCAGCTTCACTGACTTTATGGCGTGAGACCAAATTCTGACAGGGTATCAGTTACTACCAGGAGAAGCTTCACGTCCAAGCTGTTTTGTAGGACATTTTCTGTTTCATCAATGTACAGCGTGCTTCATGATTGGTTTGCAACAGCTGAAATAATGCTTTTTGACAGAGAAATTGGAGACAGGAACCGAACCAAGGAGAAATGATAAAACAGACAATTTCTCAGCACTTATACATTACTAAAGATATTCTTCCCTTTGTCAGGACCATAGCTGCAGTAAGATGTTTTTCTGTGAATTGGAGGAAGCCTAAGAGACAACCCAAGGGACTTTGCCCAAGCAAAACTCTCTGGGGTACTACAGATGGCCCAACAGCGTGCGGGAAATAGAACACAAAATCCAGCGCCTTCATTTCACAGGGATTCCTGAAAATCACTTCAGTTTCAGTTTGCAGGAGATTCTGTCCTCTCGGGTTTGTTTCAAATTTCAAGTTCAAACAGACATCAAATTCAAAGCGAAACTCAAATCTGCCAAGTTTGTGTTCAGACCGTGCCATGTGCTTTTGATTTAAGGCCACAATGTTTGCTTCAGTTCTCCTGCATCTGTAGGAACTAGTGGCGCATATCTAAGCCATAAATCAGGTGAGTGAGTCTTTCATGATTTAAAGCCCGCAATGGAGGCTGCATGAAGCTCTGCAATAAATGAGCCTAGCACCAGGCAGGGCAGCAACACAGGATCTGAATCGAGCTGCTGCCCTGCTGTCTGTAAGCCAGCTCTACCTGCTGGAGGACTGGCATGCTGAGGGCACACTCCTTCGCCCTATGAGACACATTTAGTAAACAGCACAGATGTCTGTAACAGCTTAGTTCACTTTATTGCTACCACAGAGAGAATGTATGTAATGGTTACGATAATTCCTAATAATCTATTTAGTGCAGGCAGAAGGGTACTCTGTGTAATAAGGAGGATGCTCTGTCATATAGTGCCACTGCTTGGACATGACTTGTGTTTCCAGATAGCCTGCATTTGATTTATAGACACTGAATACTTTCTGACAGACAAGTAAAACTGAAGATGCACAGTCGTTATGATCTGTATGTCTGAGGTAGTTGCATTCTAATGTCTCCATTAATGCAAAGAAATAGGCTACTATGTGATTTGTGTTTCAAGAGCCTGCCCCAAACTGGACCTGTAATGAATAATATCCATACTTCAAAAGGGAACAATTACAGCCCTAAAGCCCAGCACATACCAATTACCATACGCTGCCACTAATGTAACTATGCCGTCACCAACAGCAGAACTGAGAATCAGCAGTTTTTAATTTAATGTAGACTTTCACCCTCTTTCCTTCTTCATAACCATTTTCCTTCCTTCCTTTTTGCTGCATGTTATTTCATTCTCTCATTTGCATCGATGTTACTTTTTTTTCCTGCACTTCCCCTGTTCTGCCAATTAATGACTCTATTTCTCCTTTAGCAGCACCACTGCCTATTTCTGGGCTTCACCCCTTGCTGGCCACTACCAATTTTCAGTTCTGGAACAGAAGAGCCTTACAGACATAGCATCCTTCTCAAGAGAAATGCTGAGAGACCAAGAAAACAGACCCATTTTCAAACCTGAAATGTACATTTGACATTAAAATGCTTTGTCTGTGGTTGTTTTTTCTATATGAATTATTTCTTATTGCCTATTGCTTCCCACTGATCTCCTCAGACTATTTTCTTCAGGTCAGCCCATGCAGAAAGGCTTCAGTTTAGAATGGGTTCTTTGAAAGATGTGAATCTAAAATTATCAAAATCAGAGGGGTAAAAGGAACTGAATTCAATGCTCATCTGAGACCCTAGCTGGTCTGCAAAATAATTCTATTTAATTTTAGATGCTGACTACAATGAAACAATATGTCTAGGCAGCCATGACACTTCTTAAGCACATACAGATGTTTATGGGACCATAACAAGAACAGAAGCACGCTCTGAAACCACCTGGATACCACCCTGCAGTTAGCCGAAATAACTAGACTTTAGTAGGAAATATTGTTGGTTTGTTTGTTTTTGCATAAATGTCAGAGAGCTTCTTGAATAATTTGTTTTGTAGAAATGATATCCAGTAAAACTGAATCAACCCACCACTAAAGGTGAGATAGCACAGGCTTTTCTTTCACTTCTTTGCAACACACCGCTTAGTGTTGCTACTTAAAGTTCAGCAGTAATTAAGCAGCATCTTTCACACTGTAGCTACTCTGGTTGCAGTGTTAACCACATGGTAATCCGTATTAATGCTACAGCTATGTCTCATGATGATGAATTAAACAACTGGTGTCAGTGTCAGAGCTCAGGATTATCATAGGCAGGGGAAAACTCCCCAGTTGTTAGGGGTTTGTGTATGCTTCTGCTGACTGCAGTCATTTGCAGAGGCACTGGGGATCAATAACAAGTGCTGGCAGACAGAGTCAAGTCAATGTCAGCCCTCCAGATTAATTCTGAGCTCATTGGTGTGAGTTATAACAATCAGGACGAAGTTGGTGTTAATGTTAAACCTTCTACTGTCCAAATTTGTGTTAGCACAGATAAATAAAAGATGAGAGCTTTGGAGACTTCTCCACATTAAAAAGCTGCCATGCTTACAACTTTGCTATGAACATAACTGTGGTTGCAATTCCTTCTTTCAGGGTTCTCTATCAGAGCTCACTTTTACGTGCAACACAGGACGAAGTTTGGTTACTCACTAGAAACATTTTATATGCTTATGTATAGCTTATTCACAGTCTACAGGATAAACATTGCTTTAGATTAATTAGTTAAAAAAAATAATGACAAGCTTATTTGGGAGCTTGGCCAGAATAATCTTATGCAGACTATTTTCTTATAAGGCCTTGAAAAAAATCCTACAAATAGCAATCACAAAATGGATCCCTCCTAAGACCCCACACAGGAGGCAGAGAAGACCCTTACCTGCCTGTGCAGCTGTGATCAGGGCCGTGTTCCCTTCATTGTCCTGCCAGTTCACATCAAGATGAGGACACTGTGATAAGGCTATGACAATATCCACATATCCTTGGTAACAGGCAACGATGAGACCATTCTGTAAGCAAAATACAAAGAGTTAGGCTTTCCAGACTCAGGATAAGTCCACTGAGGAAGCACATTTGCATGCTCTTCATTTGTTGGCTTTTTTTTTTTTTTAAAGAGTAAAGAACTGAGCAGGTATCAGCATAACCAGTGATTAGCTCCAGGCACAATGTTCAGATCCAAAACACAGCTTTCTCTCTCTCTGCCCTTTGGCGAGTAATGCTTCTCATTCCTCAGAAATACCTCAGGCAGTAGGCTTTATATTGTGCTACTTGGAAAGTAACTGTTTATAACCATCTTAAACTTACACAGCTATATACTCTGTATTCAAATGAGAATAAATCAAATTTTATTGTACAATAAAAGGAACCAGACAGATAGAATGAATTGTACCTAATGTGAATATGAATTCTCTGAACAACGGGCTTGTTCTCTGAAGGGACAGCAATGGGGAAGAGCTGTGCTCTTGCTGCCTGTTGCTATCTTTTAATGCTTGATCTTTGCCATTAGAACCTAGCATTTCTGATAAGCATAAATATAATCACTGTCAGAGTTCCTGTCTAATGTGCTTTATGACAGCTGGAAGCTGTACAGTTTCCAGGAGGAAGCCAAACCAGGAAGTGAACCTCAAAACTTGGCTTGGCATTGAGACAGCCTATCATTCAGCAGCAACAAACTGGGAGCTTCTCTAAAATGCATCAAAATACACTTGTCATTATTTACATGGAACTACAACGCTTAACTCTGACTACTTGCTTGACCACAACAATTAATTCCATTATCTCTAGCTGTCAGGGTGTCTCAGCAGTCTTGTGTCAACATGTGCAGAGCAGATGTGTGCCAAGTGAAGTCACTTGTGGACACACCAAAGCTTCCTGCAGCTGCCCCATATGGCCAGCACCGCTGCCCTGAGATCAGCATCAGCTACCAGAAGTATACGGTGAGAGACACACCTCAGCCTCCTTGGTGTCCCTGCACGCCCAGATGCACTGCCTGCTCACCACCACAAATAGCAGCAGGAAATAAAGCCTAGTTACGAAAAGAAATAAGAGGGGAAAAAAAACACTGTACGGGGGGGGCGCCCCCCCCCCCCATAGACACATATGAGGCAGAGCCATTCACCAAATGACCACAGCTGTGGCTTCTGATATACTGTCATCATAACCAGGTATAAATATTTCAGTGTCCTGGCTCACTCTCATTCTGGATAACTCCTTTGGTTTAGGCAGCAACCAGCTTTATTAAAGTGTGGAGGCAAGGGCAACTCTTTAGGATGCTCACAGGTTATCTACAATATTTTTCAAATACATTATTAGATAATTACTCTGATTTATTTTATTCTCAGCTCACCACTGTCCTCAGTATAAAACAAAACCCAAAACTCCTTTATAAAGAGCATCTCATTTTCCCCGTGAAGAACCTTTAATAATTCAAGCATTTTATTGAAACTGTACACAGGAGTCTGTTTAAAGACATATAGATACATATACACATAGTTATGACCTTAGATAACGATCATTAAGAAAATATGTGATGGATGGACAATATCTGATGGATTGTCCAGATGCACTCAAATTTTACTAAAATATAATCAGTCTTAGCTTTTTTTTTTTTTAAAAAAAAAAAAAAAAGTATTGATGTCCACATGGCAAGGATTTCAAACTTATTCTAGTTCTTTAAAAAACAATCTTTCATGTAACATTTGGGATGTAGGTCTTTACCACACCAAAAGCTCTGCAGATTTAAAACATCAACCAGCCATTCAGAAAAATGTCAATTACTACGATATCAGAAAACTCAGCATAAAACAATTTGGAGACCTAAAATTCTTGACAATAAGAAGCTGGATTCAATCTCTTGAGGTCACTTCCAACCCATAAAGTTCTGCAATTCAGTAAAGAAGTGGAATCCTAATCTTCTCGAAAATATTGGCAATTCTTGAGGAGAGTGGTATTTAACAAGTCGTACAAATTATTTGGACTAGTGATCTTCTCTAATGGAAGAATGTTTCACTCAGTACTGAGACATGCTCTCGCAGAAGATTTCCACAGGAGATACATTTCAGCAAGTCTGTGATTCTGAGATACCATGTCATATACTCTTTAGAAGTGAAAAGAAAAAGATTTTAAAACAAAAAGATAAAAAACAACAAACATTAGCTCTTCTTTTTTTGCAAGAAAGCTTTGGCATTGAAGTCTATAGGGTGTACTTCCCTATGTTACACACCAGCATTCTGATTTTAGCAGCAATTTTCTCTGAATAAATCACTATTCTGTGTTTTTAAACTGGAATCAGAGTGACGTGCTTCTCATCAGTGCCCAGGACCTCAGAGCCACCAGCAGGCCCTCCCACAGTACCCATAGTTGGTGCTTCACAGCATCACAGAGCAGCAGTGGGAAAGGCAGCGGTCCTTGGTGCCACATTTATGGATGTTTCAGAATAAACATTATAATAAACCCTTGGATTTGTCTGGACCAAACCTGGATCAATGACACCATAATAGTTTGTAGTTTTAGGCTGTTTTTTCCCCGCCTTTTTCTCCTCTTTCCATTCATTTCTGGTACTGCCTGTCCTCTGCTTGCTGAAAGTTACTATATGAAGGTTGACCAGCAAACACCCAACCCACCACAATATGAGTTAGCAGTCAGGAATTTTTAATTTCTTGTAGCAACCATGCACAGTTATTATATGTTTTGAGATCTTTCTAAAAATCTCAATTAATAATTATTAAAAAAAAAAAAACAAAAACAACATTTCTTTCAGTAAAGTGTTTCTTGAAGCAATTGGTACAGCAATTGATACAGTATAATACAGCTGTGCATCTTATGTTTCTCAGAAGATAAAAAGAAAGCATTATATATAATTTTACCTAGGAAATTCTGAATCTGAACAATCTGATTATCCTCACACAAGACAACATTTTATCTCATTTGTACAATTTACAAATGTACAGTTAGAAGAGTAGCATGGTTAGGATAGCATTTTACGGGTTTATAGCCAGAAAGATTATGATGGATTATCATGGCAGAAAGAGTCAATCAATGAAATGCTCACTCATGTTCCTTGGCTCACAATGAAGTACTCCAAAAAGAGGAAACTCCAGAAGAGCTCCTTCCTCAGTGGCAGCCAGCCCTTAAATGGGGTCTAGGAGAGGTGCAGCCCCCCAGGAGAGCCTCTAGGCCTCTAGGAGAGGCTCCATCCCTTCCAGGCACACAGCTGAATTGCCTTCACCTGTGCTCCCGTGGCTGACTCGGTGCTTGCCTCAGGTGATCAATCAGGGGTTCAGGCTGTGACTCAACAGTTCCCATACACTCATTACAATTCTACTAAGGCATCAGTTATTCTGCTTCTTGTACAAATAATTTTAGGGCACTTGTGAAATGGTCAGCATGGTCAGAAATGGTCAGAAAATAACAACTTTTTTTAAAAATTGAATTTGCTTTTTTTTTTTTTTTTTTTTTTTTGTCGAAAAGATAAATTCCCAGACATATTCCTCCCTTTAAAACTTCAACCTTTCTCCATCTATGTTTTCCCTCCCCTCCCTTTCACATATCCCCAACCACCACTTTTTTGAAATGATATAGTAATGGCTCAAACTGTTCTCAAATGCATGCCACAACAATTAGTGACCAGGAGAAACAGCTCTTGGTGTATCAACCACAGCATTCCTGATTCTGAAGGGCTGGTTTGTTAGCTGACACCCGTCCTCTCCTGCTTGGCAGCCAGGGTTCTGCCAGTCATCTACCAAGACCAACAAGACACAACAAACAAAAAACCTGCTTTGTCCTCTGCACAGAAGGATAGCTGAGGAAACCATCAACGTAAAATGGCAATGATGCTTCTGGACTATAAGAAAAGCGATTTCGTCACCATAGGAGTCTTGGCCTGTCGGCTTCCTTGAGTTGCGCAAGAGATCCCTTTCATTTGTCAAAACAGTTTTCATGTGACAGACAAGAAAGCATGTCATCCATTGTTTCTACATTAAAATTTACTGCAGATTGTGTCACATAACAGGAGAGATGTTGAAACTGATCTCAGCAACAGGTTTTGTGTTTTTTTGTTCAACTAGAAGCTGCGATACTGCCAGGTGTTGAGGAAATATTTAGCATTTCACAGAGCCGCCCCACAGTTTTTCTGGACAGTATGACATTTTTCATGTTTATGTAACTAACATTTTTGAAAGAACCTCCTTTGTTTTAAAGTGACAAGGCATAATTAGCTGTATTTTATTTAGATTATCTGGCAAAGCAGACAGTCCCAATTTTCCATGTATTATATATAAAATATACTGATTGTCCATGTATTATATATAAAATATACTGATTGTCAAATGGATAATTTCAGGCATGGGACTACCTGAAGTTAACCACGCATTTCTGCATCTTCCTCAAGCAGTGCTTAAGAACTCCAAGAGATTTACACCATTCTTCTCTAACTGGAATAATGGTATTTATTAAAAATTCCCACAGAGGCATTATTTTGAAATGTGCATGTTTGTAATATAATAAAATAGCTGGAGATTAAATGTCATTCATTTTAAACTGAAATGTCTTCATGTGCCTTTGATTCCATTTAAGACTTGAATAATGCTACCACTACAAAAACAGACTCTGACTTGCTCAGCTCTGCTGGCTAATGACATAACAAATCTGATTAAGTGAGACAATGGTTATCTCAGGAGACAATTTTATAGATCAGATTTTACAACAAAAATACAGATGTCATGCTATTTGTAAACTAGATCATTGTGGATAATAGAGATCAGAAAAATACCAGAGGATCAATAAGGAACTCAAGCTGAACAGCAGAGCAAATCACATACAGCACACAATTAGTTTAGCTTTAAAAAAAAATTCTTCAGGCAACTTATTTTCTACCATGATGCTGAAAATAAAAACAGATCAAAAACAGATAAAAATAAGCTTTTTGCTTATTATCCCAGAAAAAAAAAAACGGAAGTGTTTCTAGTAGAAGGCTGAACTGACGTTACCCACTTTGTTTTATAAACATCGG